AATTCTTGACTAGCTAGTATTTCAGTACTCTAAAGAGCCAGTCTATACTTTTGTATAAATACTCACATCTTTCTTAGAACTGTCTTTATGCATTGTAAATAGAACTGCTCGAACAGGAATTAAAATGGAAGAATCTATCATTTCGATATTTACTATAGATTTATTTCTTGAATATGCATAAAAAAATGATCTTATTCATGTACTTCTACATCATCTATTAGGTAATCAAGCTCAATATTCAACCTCCATCGGTGTTTAATTTGTTATACTTGTGAAATAAGTATAACAAACAATTGATTACGAATTTCAATAGCGAACAAACATGATGTTATTCATTTAAATCATTTGTATGCTTCTTTCAGGTATTTATACATCGAGGTGTAAAGATCTTTAATAAAGATAATAATATCTATTTGGTGATAGAACGGAGTAACAATTCAGTTTTATGAATATTACTTTTCAAATTTTATATTAATTGATAAATCAAAAATTCAAATTCAACAATTTATACAGAAGAGAAAACGACATTACATTAAAGAAATCATAAAATAATCAACAAAAAACATCAGTTACATACTGTTATTTCCTGTTTTTGTTTTTCTTCTTCGATTTCAAACGTATTCCTGATAGCAGTCACGATTGTTTACAAAGTATGGACAGGACGCCGAAAAAGACTGGAAACAGTGATGATCAGTCAATGTTATCGGTTTTATATCAACCGGTGAAATGGGTCAAAAATAAAATCTGGCCTAAGGATGAACAACAATCAGAAGAAGATGATGATAATCAGTCGCAAGATAATCAACAAATCGGATATCTTAAACCATGTAGAGATTCAATACATTGTCTTGATCAATATTCTGAAGAAAAATCTCTAAGTCATAATCAAAATTATTCACATCCATGTCGTTTTTCCGAATTATGTCAAAACATCAATACTATACCCCACTGCATACAATATACTCACAATAAACATGATATACCCAAGTGTCGTTACGATGTAAATTGTTCTCAAGTCACTGATCCTGGTCATCGTTGTTCGCATCGACATACTGGTTTATCTGATTATTTATTTCCTTGTCAGTATCAACGAAAATGTCAGAATTTGTCTTTTGACCATCGAAAGAAATATTTTCATGGCGAACAAATCAATCAACCACCAGTGACTCAAAATATTCCAAAAGGTAAAAGCTTAAAGAGGCTTTCAAAAGATGTTAGTATCATTCTATATTAATTTAAGGCATAACAACGCAATATACTCGTCCTCCATCATCTTCGAAAAATACTTTCCAACCGCGAATTCCTCAAACTAAGCCTTCTACTCGTCCTCAAAACCAATCCCAACCACATAATTTTCATTCATTACAATCCTATCATACTGCTCAACAAACAAGGTCTCAAAGTCAATCATGTACAACTACTTCCTCATATGCATCGGATAAACATTCTTCTCATGTATGGTCACCTGAAGAAGAAGAATCTGATGACGAAGATTTAGTAACTAGCTTCTATAATGATGCTGCAGGTAAAAGTAATATTACCGATGCCAGTGGATACGATCAATATGGTAATCCAACAGGAAGAGTTTACGACTTGGGTCCAGATGGTGCATTTAGTGAATTTAGTATTTTAATTGGACAGTTTTATAGTTTTGACATGCAGAAACCGATTGATGCATTAAAAGTCAAAGGTTTTCAAATAAAACATGTGAAAACTGAGAATGAATTTATTACAGAACTTGCTTCAAATCATTATCAAGTCGCATGGATTATTAGTACAAATCAAATTCAAAATCCAGCATTCATTTTAGCTCTAACAACCTTTCATTCATCTGGTGGTGCTATCTTTTTATATACTGATAATACACCGTATGTGTGTCACGCATCTGAATTTCTCAAAACAAAATTTGGAATCACTGTCGAAGGTAATTATATTGACGACAAAACCTTAACATACAAAGAAAATGGCCATCAGCAAACCGGACATTTTGGACAACATGAGATTTTTACTGGAATATCAAGCTTGTACGAAGGTTTTACAATTTGTCATCCAATATATTCAACACCAGCAAATCGTACGGTATTCGTCACTATAGCAACAGCTACTGATGGTAATAGCAGTAATGCCGCGTATGATCCACCTTCAAGATCGACAGATGGGCGGTTATGTTTGGATTGTGGTTTTACTAAACTTTATCACAACTGGGATACGGCGGGAACAGCACGCTACGTTGTTAATGCTAGTTGTTGGCTTTTAGGAATTGAAAAACGTTTGAAATCGAAGAAGAAAAACAAAAACAGGAAATAACAATATGTAACTGATGTTTTTTGTTGATTATTTTATGATTTCTTTAATGTAATGTCGTTTTCTCTTCTGTATAAATTGTTGAATTTGAATTTTTGATTTATCAATTAATATAAAATTTG